CTGTGAAACTTTATCAAAACAAAATTTACCCATAATGGAATAACACTCTACCACAGTGCACAAGTTTTATTCTTATATCGGGATCATGTACGTGTATGAAATAACTCAATACATTTTTCGATAACAAATAATTATACATCATCCAGATGTTTGCGTTTCGAGCAGATGTACACATATCACAACTGTAGGCTTAATGACTTCTCCAGAATCAAGGGAGATCATCTCAGTGTTTTAATCCTATTCATATTTTTCCAACAGTTTATGACATAGAACTCAATTTAGTGAAATAAATTATGCCTTGCAGAATTTCAGTACATGGAGTTAAATATCTGGTTTTGGAATTACTGACAGACTATTAAGTCATCTTAAGACTGGCATGATTAGACAGATTACGTTCTTCGTTACATTATTGGTTGAGTGGACTTATCAGAAATACTTTTGCTGACTAACCAGTTGAAACAAGGATGAGAATGATGTGGTCTGTACTGTGACAAACAAGTATAAGGTAGCTTAGTCTACCATTCATACTGAAGTGAGAACGGTAAACCGAGTCAGTAGTAATGTTTTAAAAATAGGGAAACAGTACTTTAAAAACTTCATGGAAGCTTATTGGAAGTTATTTTAGCCAGACGAAGGTGAAGGCAAAGAACTGAGTGCAATGTAGATGTGCTTCTTAGACCCACTGTTCCAGTCAGAATTGAATAATATAGAAATACTCTAACAACCTCCCTAACTACTCAGACAAGGACTGTGGACAGTGAACTAAAGGAAGGAAAGTAAAAGTGCTTCAAGCTGATTCGTTTTCTAATTTAAAACCTGACTGATAAATTCGCATGTCGTGTAACTAAGACCACATTAATCAGCAAACAGATCACTTTTCGTAAGTTTACTTCAAAGCTGTACAGTTATTTAGATGGTTTATGTATGCAATGTTAATTGACAACAGAGATCAGTGGTTATTAGCAGTTAGTAAAACAAAATAAATAAAAGTGTATGAGTAAAAACGACGCTTGATAAATTGTGGATAATAAACTGCACATAGTTCTTTTTTAGTTTTCAGTTTTACTTATCTTTTAATTTTATTTTTGTAACCCATTGTCAATCTTTTCTTCTCGTGTTTTCTATCGGTTATCTCCAGATTACTACCCATCGCCGAACTATTTAGTTGTCAAATCTCCTGATCACGCAAGGTTATCCACAATTTTTCAAACCTTTTCACTACGCATACACTTTCATTTATTTTTTTTAAACTGACTGATAATAACCACTGACCTCTCTTATCAGTTAGCATTCTATACAGAACTCCCTAAATAACTGTACAGTTCTGAAGTGAAGTTAATGAAAAGAGATCTCCTCTCTGATTTGTGTTGTTAATTGATAAATATTTGACAGTTGACTAGGACGTTATTCATAAAGAAATTACTACTATAACCGTAGCATACTGATAATAAAAAAAGCTACAGTTGATTTTATTTGCTCATTATTCATCCTTTATTGGTTTACAATTGCTGATAAGATTTCAGGACTACATTCATCAGAGTGTCATTGATTGACGTAAACTGATATAAATAGTATGTATTCAGGTTGGAATATAGTTATACATTTGCAAATATTTAATACAGAACAGTTAAAGTTCCACTAGCATTGTAACATTCAATGTTAGAAGGGGTTTAAAAAAATACAAAGGTATTCTGGAAATATTTTTGGACACACCATATGTACAAATACAGCGCCTTATTTACCTCTGTGTTCCTATTACAACAAAATGTTACTATTTTGAATATCTTCACAAAAATAAAGTTTACTGTTAAGACGTTAATGAATAATTGTTAGTGCATAGGTTTTATTTAGCAAGAGGAAATACTGATAAATTCTTAAAGCCTCAGTGATGTTGAAAAAGTTCCAAGTAAGCTGTATAATCAGGAAATAATCTACCGACCAGTTTAAATTAGATTACACACAATTCAGACCAGCGTTAGGTGTGTCTACTTGAACTTACTTCTGGATAGTTTAAGACAAAGTATCAATTTAATTTTGTCAGAGTATTCAGAATTTTCAATACCTAATCAACCAGGCTACTCTATGAATTGAAAGTATCAAAAACAACAGTTTCGAAAGGGATTACTTAACATCACCATAACAGGCAGTCACGTACAGTTTAATGACTCACAGTTAGCTCACTAGATCTCCTTCTACTGGCTTTTACAATGGCATATAACAAACTATATTCAAAATTTATTTAACGAAAAAACACTACACACTTCTCTAATGTGTAGCACATTGAATGAATAAATTAGCCCAATGTCGCGATAGATTCTTGCAAAGAAGTTAAATAATATGGAAAAAATAAAATGAACACAATGTTTTGATTTATCTTTAAATATTCCCATCTATAATATTAGAACAAGACATATAAGTGAACAATATTGTTTTCAATTAGATCTTCTTCAGGCTTTACTCTAATTTACATAGATTTATATATAAAATTTTAACCAATGACGGTGATTTTGGGAATTAAATTATAATCTTAATAATAATAATAATAATAATAATAATAATAATAATAATAATAATAATAATAATAATAATAATAATGTGGTAAATGTTCTGAACGTAGTTAATAACGATGATTATAATGATAACAAAATATTGATAATAAGGTTTATGCAGGTGATAAGAATAACAAAGATAGTATATGTATATAAGTGTATAAATAAATTGGGTCAAATCTTAAAAAGGTGAAGTGGAACGATAATCAGAGTTTAAATAAATATTATAAAAGTACGAAGGTGGTGGAAAATAAGAAAGGGTGGGAGGGTTTTGAATACAATTCACCTAGGCCAAGGGAGAGACAAAGGTAGAACAAACTTCTTTTGTATGCAAAGACTAGGATTATTCTCTCGAATTCCCATAGCTTCGGCTAGGTGTAAAAGACGGGTTCTGATTCCATTCGAAAGACTTGATGGAATACGATAGATAACTTTGAAAGCACTATTTTTGTCCACTTGGTGACCGCTATCAATCAAATGAGCCAAAACAGAACTTCGTATGGATTTTATTTGACCTTTTCCGAACCATGAAGGAAGATGCTCATTAATGCGTTTGTTGAGCTGTCTAGTTGTTCGCCCTATATAGCTTTCTCCACAGGAGTAACTAAATTTATAGATACACATCGAAGTGGCACAACTAGGTAGCTTATCTTTCACTTGAGCAATCAAAATTGGTCGGCTGGAAAATGACAAACAAAGGATGGCGGCAATATACCGTCGAATAAAACAACCGACCTAAAATGATTCCAAGTTGAATCGATTGATAGACGGCTACTGTTTATTGACTGAAATCATGTTGGTAAAAACACTAAGTGATGATTTATCTCTTACAAACTACAATTTAGATTTCCAGATTCTAGACTAAAACAACAGAATCTTCTTTTCTCAGTTCATAATTTATAGAGAATTCTACGCGACTAAGGTTTCCTAACTATTTCCTCTTGTTGACAATCAGTATCTGGAAAAAGGTGGAACCACATCAATTTAAGACCAAAAGTAGTCAGTTAAAGTTGGACACAACGTTTAATCTATGGAACTCAGTCAGTACTTTTGACTACATAACATAGATATCCAAAAAGTCAATATAGCAGTATACAGTCTTTATAGTCGTCCATCTGCCTCAGTGATCAGATCGTTTAACTACCGACTCCTGAGTTATGAGTCAAAATCATTCCATTAGCAGATATTATAAAATTTAAGTGAAACTGCGAATATATTGGCTATCGAATTTCAGTATCCAACTCATCAACTTTCTTGGATTTACTGCAATTTTTTAAAAACAAAAGCAGTTGATTATTCACCTATTGCAAAGTCCAAAATCGTAGTGAAACAAAAACTAATCCCTTCATCTTGACTACTGCAATATTTGGTTTCGGTCAGTCACATGCATAAATTGTCCTCAAATTAATTAAAATAGCGATATCACTAAAAAGGAGATTCCATTTGGAATTTAGGGATTGAAGTAAAAACTTTAAGCTTTCTTAGCAATGTATTTTCCAGTCACTTATCAACTGAAAAAGTCAAAGTCCCGCGATAAAATTGTCATCCATGAACGGTAGCTGCTAAATTACTACATGGCAAAACATGACTGATTCATTTCTACTGACTGTAGACTGAATTCAGATTACTCAAAAGACTATTGGAATATCAAATTTCAAGTTGTGTTAACCTGAGAATAATTCACCATTCACTACCTAATAGACCTATCAGGGTAAACTGAGAGAAAATAGTTTACTGAGAGGCCTGTCTTTTAAGTTATTAGCCCTCAAATATAAATCATTAAAAATGGAGTAACACCCCAGGGTCAGAGCAAGATACGCTAAGATTCGTCTCATTAAAAGATCACCTATTTATGCCAAGGCGAAATGACCATGTAAACTGCATCTAAATGTCAAATTATGTTACTTTTCTTAGGAGACAATGGTTGTAGACTTGAAATGAACTAAAGTCAACAAGAAGCAAAATATTGTGAAGGTCTGAGACTGAAATAAAGTATGCATAAACACTTAGCGCTACAAAGCATTGAGGAATTCTGAGCAATCCTCGTTTAATCATATTTATAATACGGATTGATATCAGTTAGTGAACCATTGAAAGCCAGGGTGCATGGACAGTTGTTTCATCGTGATTTTAGCGCAACCACCAACCCCGAATTGGTAGGAGTTAGAATTCATGGGCCATTGAATTGGGTCCTAGTGGCTGAATGGTATATGAGCTTGCTTTGTAACCGGAAGGTCTTGGGTTCTAACCCCACTGGGTGTGTACTGCCGATGATTCCCAAACTACGATGAAACAACTGTCCATACACCCTGGCTTTCAGTGGTTCACTAACTGATATCATTCCGTGGTCAAACTCGAAAAACATTTATAACACTTAGTGAATGAAATATATTAAAGACATCAATAATTTTAGCTTAGTAATGAGCAGCATGTACACGGAATTAAACTCACAGATGTGCAAATAGCAAATATGACCAGATATAAGCGCATCTCTAGACAAAATGAAATCGAAGCGAAACGTTTTCTTCCTGAACCGTGTGATACAAATTCTGGACTAGTGTTAAATAAGAATTTAAATCACTTATATACATATTTACAGGAAATACGTTAAACACTCGCCTACTATAAAGGTAGATACCAACAGTGACTGGAATATGTTGATAAAAAACCCCTCTACTTGTGTATGTGTCTGCATGTTAGCATTCATTATTAGAATATCAACTGGCTATTGGTTAATAAATTTCTTCCCTATAAACAAAATAGGCATAGTTTGAAACCGAATGGGTGATTTATTGATTAAATTTACGCGTGCTGTGTACATGTGTGTGAATGAGTGTCTCATCCAACAAAAACTTCCAGGAGGACGATAAAGCAATCATTGTTGGACAAATATTCACATATATCATCCAAGATGACATTTACAAACAACAATAACACTAGTGTTAATTTCGATTACAGACATCGTCAGCACCACTTACAACATTTGGAAATTTCAGTCCTTTTTTGGAAAGAATAAGTAGAATATTTTAGATTAGTAAATGTTAAAGAGTAATTTATCATGATTTAAATAGATGTTAGTGTTGTGTTTAAATCCTGCCTACGACATTTGACTAGAAGGCAGTAAATGTCTAAGTCCATTCTTTATTATCAAGTTACTTCAGACAATTCAATGAACATTACGGACAGGTGGGCTACTTATTCTATGATTATGGATTTACAAGGATCACGTTTGAAGCAGTTGAACATATATGTTAGCTAATTAGAAACCGATACAGAAGAACAGAACAGCTATACAGCAGTTCTCATTGACGTTGGATTATCTATAATATATTACAGAGAACAGTGTGTCCAACAACACATTTAAGGCTGGATCTATATCATGTGATGACCTATCAATGTATCAGTTCTTCAATCATTTTTTGTTACCCTTACAGAAGAAATGATTAGTTTGCGATTAGGAAATCACATGTAAAGAAGCAACACTTTAAGAAACTATTCGCATGATTTCTGTCCACCGCCACAGAACCTAAACAAAGACAGCTGATAATAAGTAGAATTTACATCTGGTTAGTTGTTCAAACTAGGCGAAGTTATTTAAGCAACAAACCCACTACCGATTTGGAAATTAGATTGTAAATTGTACTTTCATCAAAAATTCATTCCTTTCCTACAAAAGCAAATCAGATAGTCAAACTAGCACTGTCATTCATAGCAAAAGACTAAATCATGCAGATTGGCAAATATCATTAAGTAGTGACAGTTCAGTCACCTAAGAATAACCGAGATTGGTTTGTGTAAAGTTGGAAAAAGTATATTCCTATGTATATACTGGCCTTAAAGAAATTTAAAACCGAAAAGTCGTTTAGTAAATCATACATATAAAACTGATAAGAAGATAAACATTTAGGTAGCATAAAGTAAACACAAGCATAGCTGAAATTTAGTCATTTGGCATTCCTTAAAAAGAATATCTAATCTCAAGAAAAAGATTGATATATAGGTGGATAGATAACTAGAGTGATGGCTGGTCGACAAATGAGTAATTTTCTTTCTTAAATTTCGTGGTTTTCTCGAAATGTCTTCTCTTTTAAACTATACACAGCACATCCTGTTGCTTGTGATGATCTGATATTTTTTTTTCTCAGTAATTAAATTTGTGGTCGTTTTTGTGTATTGTAATTAAGTAACGTAATCAGTAAAATGCTGAATTTTACAATGCTTTGGTGATCACCAACGGTCACCTGTACTAATCACTTGACTACCAGAATCTCCATCCATCAAAATGCTTAGCCTCTTCTACATTTCTTATTGTTTTAATCATACAGTTATATCAAATAACCACTACATGAAGTCACGCACATATTCAATTGGCCTCCCATTTAATGCTGTGCAATTTTTGAAGGAAATTAGGAGAAAAAAGTATACAGAATTGGCTCTGTTTTCATTTGGAGCAACACTACGTCACATGAAATACTTAGATGATTACTTTACATGTAAATCGTGTATGAAGAGCAGATATTTTGGAACTGAATGCTCTGTAAATTTCTGTATTATGTGTCCACACATAAGCATAAGAATTGCTGCCAACTGAAGACCATCTGAGATAATTTCATCATCAGAAATGTTTACGGTATAATTCTGTACGCTGAATGGAGTTCAAATATTACCTAAAGTTCATCATAATATTAGTTCGAAAATGAGACACTGATAAAGATTGCCAGTCGGTTGTTAATGTCATCAAATTTAACTTAGATGAATACCATAAAAGAACATCAGACGAAATAATAAGCAGTCTGTTTTTTTTGAAAATTACACAGTCCGTAGTAAAATCTCAGCGTGTCTGCAATATTAAAAATCCAAGGCATTTAAATCACAATCTTTTATCTGTCTAATATGTCAATGGTTGGTTGGACTGCAAAATTTGGGCTACCGATATCACATGCTGAAAATTCAATACTTGTATAAAAAAATACGATGCGGAATCAAGCTGTAATCAGAAAGATAAATAAATAAATAAAATACGTCGAAACTGCAACCAGAACAGGCGTAGAAAATATACACGAGTATTCGGTAATTAATTATCCATCCGAATAATTATCACTTAAATCATCTGGATTTGTTTAGCAAATGTTATCTATTAGGATAAACAGCTTCATTTCTGTTGATTCATATCAGTAGTGTACAGTGAAACACTGTAGACAACCAAGCATGAAAGACGACAAGGAAATCAAAGTAATCATAACAGAATGGACATTTAGAATTAAACAGTGGGATAACTGTTCATAAATACATTTGGCGTTTAAACCATTTATTACAGTCTTATTGTTTATTCCTATAATTTATTTAGAACAAGGATAATTCAAGTCAAAACTTGTTTTCAATAACTTCTTCCTTAAACTCTACATTTATAAAGTCACTAATATGATTCGAAAATGTGAAATATCCCCGTATCACGAAATAGAAGTTGGTTTGAACAAAGAATACTCTGTTCAGTAAATATTCTTTAGGCTCTCACATTTATAAAGTATAATATTTGTCGTTACAATAATAACCAGTTATGAGACGGATACATTTTAACGTAGAATAACGGATTAATTATAGGGTGGGGGGCAAAATGAAGTGTGTGACAATTATGCCGGGATGACTACAAATATAAAATGTTGTGGAATGCGAGAAAGTGGTGGTGATTAGTCATACTGGATCCATTAAGAACACAATATTCAGAGAAGAGACTTTTTTTCAAAGAATTTATTATCAAGCTGTACAATTGTATGTATACAGCTCATATAGGCTCACACGATGTGAAGAAGGGAAATCAACAAGTCAGTTCAATATTGCAAAAGGAGTTTGGTGACTGGCTAATACGATCAATAGCATGCGTCAAAGAGGAGATAGTAAGACTTCGGTGAATGGTTGTATTTGTATTCATCCCAGCATACTTTACACACAAAAACTTTTATTCCCCCTCCCCATAATTAGTCCTTTATTCTACGTAAAAATTTATCTGTCTCATAACTGGCTGTTATTATTGTAACAATAAATGTGAGAACCTGAAGAATATTTACTGAACAGAATATTCTTTGTTCAGACCGACTTTTAGATATATTGGTGTAAACATATAATTATTACTTATTATTGTTCCCTTGATTTCCGAGAGGAACATAGGGCTTCAACGACACATCTCCACTTCGTTCTATTTTCTGCTGTCCCCTTCAGTTTGGCCTACGATTGCCCATAATCTCTCATCTCCTCCTCACACGATCTCCTCCATGTAACCCCCCGGGTGACCCACTCTTCGTTTCCCACTCGAAGGCGTGGCGACAGATGGTATTCGGTGGTCTCCTCAGTGTATGTCCAATCCATCTCCATTTTCTCCTACATGTTTGTTGAGCATATGGCTCTTGACTGGTTTGCTGCAAGAGTTTCTTGTTGGTTATTCTTAACTTCGCCTACCTTATCTACTCTCTATTTTTCTAGCCGGTCCCAAAAACGGGATAGAAGGGGGTTCGGGCTAGTGATCCTACCCGAGAAAACCAATCAAAGTGCTACAGAAACTTCAAAGAACAAGAAAAATATTAACACATAATAATTATGCAATATTGTTCATATTTTCTCCTACATGACTTACCATTTGAAACCCATTCGTTGGTTAATCATTAGTTTGTAAACATACCATTTGACCATTTAACCTTATTTTATTTTATGTTCCTATTGACTGTACAATTTATATGAATTTAAACGATAAACCAAAGGATTGTTAGGATTTCATCTTGTAGCACAATGTAGTTTCCAAAATAATTTTGATTTACCATTACTGGCTATTGTGTGATAACATTAACAGAATTTTAATTGTTCACCTAAATTATTCTTATCACCAATTTATCTCTGCAAATGAAACTTCAGCGACAATAATCCAGAATTCCAGTAACAATTAGTACTGAAAGTACCTTCAGGCTGTAAACTGAGGAGTTTACAATCACTCTATCTTGGTTCTGATAATTCGCTAAAATCTTGGATTCTTGGCGATTTATCTTTCTTTGGAACAAAAATGTATCAGTTACAGGATTTCATCATGAGCTGACATTTGTTAGAGGACCATTGGAAAACCAGGGAGTACTGGACAGCTGTACGCATCAGTACGCACCCATCGGTGGGTGCGTAATGATGAAGAGTCCCAAACTAGGACGAAACAGCTGTCCAGTACTCCCAGGTTTTCCAATGGTCCTCTAACCAATGTCAGCTCATGATGAAATCCTGTAACCAATCAACCAAATCCCTACAAACCAATACTTGAATAAAAATGTATCAACTAGTTACTTTGACTCGAATTCTAGATACTAGTATAAAACGGATTTTACGCAAGAAAAGTACATGGACAAGGTAGCACATATATTTTCATAGCTTTGTTTCTATCCAGTACAAAAGAAATTTAGTAAATACCTTCGGATAGACTCAGAGCTACTTGTTCAGAAGGTGCACTTGAAGATGAACTTAATATTGTATGTGAAACGTTGATCAAAAGCAGCTACCCTGAAAAATTCATCGCAAAACACTTGGCCAAGAGAGTGGGAAAGCATTATTCTGCATCTGCTAACAAGATTTCTCTGTAATAGACTACTGCAGCTCAAAGGTAATGAAACAAACGGAATAATAACCATCAATTTGAGATCATTTCGAGGCTCTTTTGATGGCGGTAAGCTGTAATAT